TTGTTCTTCTTACTGATGTGTGGATTATAATACAACATCAGTACTCCGATATGGTGCTATAGCTATTCGTACTTGTGTTATAGGTATCAGTATTTCGTTATAGCATTCAGGCCATAGGTTGTACTTAGACTGCAGGTAACTTTAGTATCGATTTCATGTGCTTATGTTTCGAAATGATTTTCGTGTCATTATTGATATCCATATATCAGAAAATTTTTGTTTGCTATATCCTAGTCAAACTAGTCAAATCTAAATCGAATCTGTTTAAATGCATTTTAAAATAATTGTAGAATTAATGTGCATTTATTCTAGATTTAAATTCTGAAAGGGTTAGAAACTATGTCACCACGTCACTGCTTCCTTTAAGGATTATTGTAATAAACCTACTTTAGTTCTATAGGCATGTAACAGTTAACTCTCCAATTGTTGCCAAATTTAGTTATAAGTGAATAAGCAGTTGATAAGTACTGAAGTCTGAACCTGGCCAGACTACTACAGTGATAGAATATGTTCTGCTATTTCCTTTTCTTCGTGACAAAATCTGCAGCTATCGTTCCTTGTAACATATAGATTTCACAGATGTTTTTTGAATCCACAATGTCCAGTGAAAAACTCTGGAAACTAGGAGCTCCAAAACAGAGCTCCCTAGTCTTGTCTTTTGACCGATTCGGTATGTATTCTTTAGCTTGTCTACAAGTAATCACATTTACCTAGTCTGAATTTCATATTCAAATTATTTATTAGTTTTAAATTTGAAAAAGCTTTATGGAGAATCTTAGAATGGTTGTGGCCCAATTTAATATGAGGCTCCGCTTTTTCTGGCTAGTTCATCGGCTTTCACATTTCGGTCAAAGTCGCTGTGTCCTAGAATCTATATTAAGTGAATCGTGTTTCTTTCAGCATGATCTTTGAGAATTAGAAGGCATTCTCACACTAGTTTCGAAGTTACTTGAGGTGAACTTAATGTTAGGAGTGTCGATTTGCTGTCAGAGATAATACATATGTTTTTTCCCATGGTGTGTTTCCCTTTATACCTTTATATTCCTTTAGACATAGTTTTATTGCGTGTACTCCGGCCTGAAAAACTGAGTTCTCTTGACTTATATTTATAAATATTTTCTCTTTTGGTTCAACCCCATATACTCTCGCTCTCCATTCCTTTTATCATTTTGGAGAGTCATTCGTGTACCACAGCTGGTAATCTTCAATGAATGAAGGTGTGTTCTGTTCTCAGTTATTTCTGTCTGCTATTAATACACGGAACATTTGATTTAAGTTAAACTTATGTGAGGAAATGTTAGATATGGTGATGTTTATTTATTTATTCTAAATGCTTTCATATAATTTTGATACTAAAAATATCTTTTAAAACTATTTTTATTTTTTATTTCAACCATTTGCCCTTAACTCATGGACAAGAAATGTTTCTTCAAGAACTTAGTTTCGTTTTCAAGTAATATATGAACTGTCATCAGTTCTACTAAGTACTAAGCAGTCAAGCACTAGGTTTTTTCCAATATCTAATTATATCTCAAACATAAATCGTTCATATTTAATATGCTCACAGCTGAGTAAAAAGAATATATAAATTATCATGTAAAGAAAGCCTTTTACTTGCAAAAAATAAAGACTTACTAGAAATACTCTTTAGGTTTTTATATGTTCGGGCACTGAAGTGAAGACAGAATGAACCCAAATATACAGTGCAGCACAAATTGACTGGCAAAAAATTTGAAGGAAAATTTTAATTAAAAATTTTAAAACAGTTACAATAATTACAATAGTTTTTAGGTGTTGAGAAATGAACTACAGTTAATGCCCTGCAAAAATGTAATTATGATTATCTCAATAAATAATATTAACCATAGTCATGGATATGGAAAATTTGTATTTTTTTTACTATTTTGTGAACAATTTCTTAAATAAAAAGAAACAATTCAATCTGTCCAGCTTTGAATAGATTTTGACTTAATACGAGAACAATTTTCCTCTTACAAAAAGAATACATATAAGTACAAACAATAATTTTATATAAAATAATTCGGCACACAAGTTCGTTTTTGATAAATCCATCGTAACATAAACTAATTGTTCAGCTTTCAGTTATAGTATTTCCACGTCGCATGAAGATTTTTAGATGCATGAAGTTTAATTTCAAGTTGTACACAGAATCTTTTATAAGTTACTTTCTCAGTAAAATAAATACAATATATAAATTTCATATATAATATGTAATTCTTTATACAAATAGGTACATCATTTGATGATAATGAGGATGATTCTCAGTCATTATCTTACAACGATATCTAGCGTTTTCTAATTTAGTTAAAAATAACACTAAATCGGGCGAACTATATTGTAATTTTTGGTTTGTCAAATTATTCACGAAAATCACGTAATTTCTATAATTTGTTTAATAATTTTGTAATATAATATCTTATATTGCTTAAGTATTTTTTTACTCACCATTGTTTCTTCTTTTAGATCATTATGATTATTTTTTTAATGTTATTTTGTTGTATTTTGCATTTTTTTTATGTTATTGTAGGTACAGATTTTTCAAAATTTTTAAGAAAAAAAGCAGGAAAAAAAAGTTGTCTAAACTTATACTTAAGAATATAATTATCATTCTAACAACTTTCATCCTTAATATTATCCTTATTATTATAAATATGTTATTGTATACATATGAAGATTTTAAAATAAAACTCCAAAAATAATAATTAAATGCTTTGTATTATATTTTTCAGAAATAATTATTATCATGTGCCTTTTATTTTTCCATGTAAAAATAACTGTTACGATCTATTGGTTAACGATTTATTTATATTCTTTCAAGATTTTTTTAAGACATCTTTTTTTAAAACGTTTTTTTTAAGATATCTTTTTTTAAATTTTTTTTTATTTTTAACATATCTTTTGTAATATATTTATTTTAATATATCTTTTTTTAATACATCTTTTTTTAATAATAATAATTTAATAATATATTTTTTTTTTTTGTAATATATTTACTTTCTTTTTTATATATTTTTCTTTTTCTAATGTATTTTTTTTTTTTATAAAAAAATTTTTAATATATCTTTTTTAATATATTTTTTTGTAATATATTTTTTTTAATATATCTTTTTTTAATACATCTTTTTTTAATATATCTTTTTTTAATATATCTTTTTTTAATATATCTTTTTTAATATATCGTTGTTTAATATGTTTTTTTTAAATATATCTATCTTCTTAATATGTCTTTTTTAATATATATGTTTTCTTTTTAATATATATCTTGTTTTTTAATATCTCTATCTTTTTTTAATGTATCTTGTTTTTTTTTATAATAAATTTTTTAATATATCCTTTTTATTATATTTTTTTTATATGTATCTTTTTCTAATATATCTTTCATTAGTATATCCTTTTTTAATATATCTTTTTAACATGTCATTATTTATTTTATCTTTTTTTAATATATATTTTTTGAATATTTTATATATATATTTTAATATTTTTTATATTTAATATTTTTTTAATAATTTATCAATATTTCTTTAAATTTTTTTTAATATTTTTTAATATTAATATTTAATATTAACAATATATTCTTAATCATTTTTGGTCCTTTTACCGCCTTAGCTACACATGTTTTATTGTGTTTTTTTTTTAAATTTTGTTTTTTTTTGTAAATATTGTTTTTTTTTCAAATTTTGTTTTTTTTTGTAAATATTGTTTTTTTTTATATATTTAGTTTTTTTTTAAAGTTTGTTATTGTTTTAAATTTTGTTTTTTCTTGTAATATTCTATTTTTTTAATTTTGTTTATTTTTTAAATTTTTTTTTTAAAAATTGTTTTTTTTTGTAATTTTGTTAATTTTTTTTTGCAATTTTGTGTTTTTTTGTAATTTTGTTTTTGTTCTGTAATTTTGTTTTTTTTTGTAATTTTGTTTCTGTTTTTGTAATATTGTTTTTTTTTGTAATTTTGTTTATTTTTTGTAATTCCTTTTTTTTGTAATTTTTAATTTGTTTTTATTTTATTTGTTTTTGTTTTTGTATTTTGTTTTTTTTTCATTTTATTTGTTTTTGTTTTTGTATTTTGTTTTTTTTTCATTTTATTTGTTTTTGTTTTTTTTTATTTTTTTGTTTTTTTTTATTTTTTTGTTTTAGTTTTGTTTTTGTTTTTAATTTTGTTTATTTCTTAAATTTTTTTTTTTTTTAATTTTGTTTATTTTTTATATTTTTTTGTTTTTTAAATTTTGTTTATTTTTTGAATTTTGTTTATTATTTGAATTTTGACATTTTCAGTTTCTTCAACGCTTTGAACAGAGTTTTTGCTGATATTATTTTAATGTCTTTAAAATGTTTTGAAAAGTTTTTTTAATATATTTCTAATAATTTATTAATATTTTTTAAATATTTTTAAACTCATCATCATGAGTTTCGTTCGATTCGTGGGTCCATTTCTTTGATATTACTCCAATAAACCAACTTCAACTTCGTCAATGATTTTTCACAAATTTTTATTTTATTTTTGTTTTATTTTTGTTTTATTTTTGTTTTATTTTTGTTTTATTTTTGTTTTATTTTTGTTTTATTTTGTTTTATCTAAATATCATTTCATTTATTCTATTTTTATCTTTTGACAAAGAAATAAAAGAAATGAGTCTTTTATAACATTGAAGATGTCTTTTAGTTTTATAATTTTATATCCATTTTAACGGGCTCGCAATATATAAACAATGTATATTTTTATATCTGCAAGTTGTGAATAAATATTGTTAAGCAAACATTTATACATTTATTTATATATGTGATCGGCACTCTATATAACAGCCAGCATGTATAGGATTGTATGTCATACATACATATATGTATGAATGTATGTATGTGAGAATTTATGAATATCTTTCTTCTTAATATATAAGTTTGTAGATTTGTAAGCATTCCGATTTTATGTGCCATCATTAACCACTTGTGTTTGATTTATTTTCCAGCGGACGTACGCAGCAAACAATAAAATAAAAAAAAAAGAAAATAAAAATAAAAATAAAAATAAAGTCTTCATTGTTGACATTGTGAACAACAAGTATCTCAACAACACCAACAAAGGCAACAAGCGTCGACGGCAGATAGCCAGCAATAACATTCAAAATGAATTGGTTGCATCTGGTAATCGTTGCAGCCGCTTTGGCAATTGGCGATGTTGCGTCATTGTCATTGGATCCAGGTAAGTGCAGCTACGGAAAGATCGCATTAAAAATTTTATTTATGCAATTCACTTGAGTTCATTGCGTTTCCATTTATTGTGTGTGAAATGTGTGCCCTCCTCTGCGCTTCTGGCACGAGCATATTTACACTTGTAATTGTGCATTTAACATGCTATTGCCTCTATCGATATCGGCACATATCCTTATCGGCTGCAAATATGTATCTTTGCATATTTCTTAGCATTTCGCTTGTTTCTAAATATTTGCCTAATACTATTTTTTAGCAGTGGAAAGTTTTATCGCCTTCTCAGTTACGTCTCGACGTCTCGCACATACGACTATTTGTGTTTGTTCTTTATTTTTGACTGATCACAGTTAATATTGGATTATTTGTGAGTCAATGTTTACCGATAATTTTGTTTATAGTAGGACAGACAGTGTTTGCGGTGTTAACGATAAAATCAGCAAATAATGTTATTTTATGGTAGGTATAAAAATAATTTTCATTATCAATTTTCACAAGTGCTTATGAAACAAAAAGCCTCAGGTGTGATTTACATGAAATCTATAATATTAGTAGGACCAATTATTCCTCTCAGATCTATCTGTCACTGGTATTGTCAATTTAACTAGGTGAATCTTCTCAAATTTCGCTTTTTATACCTTTCACGCGGATAGTCTGGTGATGTAAGCTCTTAGTTAGGTGTGATGCAGTAATAGAAATAATAAGAATCTTACAGAATTTCAATCAGTTAGATGTGACGAAACAATTACTTCCGCGATCGTAATTGCCTCTTAGTCTATGAGTTAGATGAAAGAAATTTTGTATATTCACTGTATAACCACTGTATTATCGGATGACCAATTCATATGACTCATGTAAACTAAGCTCCCTTTTTATAGTCTTTGAAAAAATTAGTATAATTAAAATTTGACATATGCATAGTGTTCCACTTATATTGGATATAATTAAATATTTATATTGAATTCAATTCGGTCTATAGGTTAGAATAGAATTTGTATTTTATTGTTTAATGTAGTTTTTTATATTATTGTTGAAGTTCACACTGTAATATAAAGCAAGTTTTTAACAGAAGGACAATAACTGTCATATTCTCTGTGACTGTCCAGCATTGAGCTAATCCAGGAGGTGGTATCTAGTTCGAGAACTACTCTCCCCTTCTGACATTAGGAGGTCCTCAACGTCTGACATTTTGGCTTTCATTCGAAAGGTGGAATGTCTTCTGTTCGGTTAGGGTCTATGGCAGCATAAAAGATCAACTATGGTCGTAGTGCTCCGCGATCCAGTAGGTAGCTTGTATCCCGTTTATTTCTATTCTATTCGAAGAGTAAGGAAGCAGTTGGAAATCAAATTTCAGTAATAATGAACCGAAAAATTCAGAATGGGATAGGATAAAGAAAATGATGAGGTGTGAAGTAAAAGTACAGAAGAGTTGTCTGAGAAAATGGAATCTAACCTTAATTCTAATGACACATTCTTGCTACATAAATAGGACGGAACCATATATCAAATTTGTCTGTACATTTAAATACCAGATGGACAACGTCGTGAGAAGTAGAGCTGAGACAGTAAGTAAAAAGTGTGTATGTGTTGAGCAGGGACATACCTGAGTAATTTGCATGTAGTTGTTTGTCTCCCTTATTCTGTATTGGGAATCAGTGTAACTTATTTGGTATTAGGTTTTATCCGACTTTTACACCTAATTGATTTATATTAAAGTATTGCCTGTATTTTTGATGATCATGATTTTTCTCAAGCTTTGTTAAAACTATGATTATTTAAAATATTGATTGTTTTTTTTTACGGACTCAATAATATTTTAAATCATATAAACCGGAACTCGTTCTATATGTGTGTTGCTTTGAACCTTTTGTTTAGCATATAATTAGCATATTGACTTTATACACATTTTGACTCCTAGTTTTATATTTCTTAATAGCTCCTGAGTTTTTGTTTTGGAAAATGTGAAGTCATGACTTGTTTTTCTGTTTAAAATTAATTTACACTTGAATGAAGAAATTTACGTTTTTTTTTTTTTGCGAAGTTACACTTCGCTTTCAATTTTACGACTTTCAATGGTCTGTTGGAACTAATTGACATTTTTACTCTTTCTGTGTAGTTGCCTCTGCTGAATTGGAACAGTATATAAAGAAAGGCGATTGTGTTATATCTATGCGTCATATACGGTAAGTTCGACCCACTCATCTGTCATATAAATTTGTTTACTGTTGTGTTATACGATTCTGTAGACCACGACGAAAGTTGCACATATCAATTGAGGCACTCTTCATGATCGATTTTCCCACACTGAAACACAAAATGTCCTTCTTCCTCGATCGTAAACAGCAGCGCGTAACGCTTGACATTAGCGACAATGGCGCCACCGAATCCAAACATTTCGAGATTCCCAACATAAATGAGACGAGCACAATTCGTTCGTTGGCATTGCATTTCCATAAAAATCGCATAGCTTTGTTGGTGGATTGCAAGGAGAGTTCAGCACATGAAATTGATTTGAATCTAACCAAATTGTATGCTTCGCAATTAGATGATCCGATAATTAAACTGGTGAGTGAGATTATAATATATATTTATATATTATGCTATTGTGTGTAATTGATAAATTAAATAATAATAAATAATAATATTTAATAATAGTATTTGATAATAATATATATTAATAATATTTAATAATAATATTGAATAATATTTTATATTTCTCATATTATAAGTTATAGTTTATTTAATTTGATATATGTTAGATTATGTTTAAGATTGAGTCTGTAACAGATTCTACTTGTACCGGTCATGAATTCGATGCGTTTCCGTAGGGCTTATGTCTTTATATGTTTCACATTAATTTACTAACTTACTTAGTGTTGTTCTCTTCTCCTCGTTGATCATAGGGTCTCTTTTATAGATCTAAACCGAATTCTATTAGGTACTTTGTGAAATATATCATTTCAGTTAATATTTGCATTATGGAGTTCTCTGTCTATAGTTCTACGTCATGTTTGTGCTGGTGTGCCTGGCCTTCTAGAGCCTTGATGGTACCATGTGAATGCTGTTCTTGCTAAATGTTTCGCAGAACTTCGAAATGTGTGGCCAATCCACCGCCATTTGCGTCAACCAATCTAAACTGTAACAATTTCTTGCTGTGTGCGGCTCCACAGGTCTTCATTTCTTATTCTTTTAGGTCATCTTACACCAAGTATTCTATACACCAAGGTTTGTATTTTTGACTCAATGCGGTTGGAACCTTTCCATGTTTCACAGCCATAGAAGAGCACAGATTTTATATTTGATTTGGTAGAGTTTGCTTTGTTGATATCTTCATCATCCTCATCAGCGCCACTTCTAGCTGTGAGCGCACTTCCCAGATAGACAAAGTTTTCCAGGCAAATTTTGCATGTTTCACACTTAATAATTTGGTATTTAGTTATGGTTTGTCTGATATTTGTATTTTGGAATTATTATTGACCTGCATCTTCGACTCAGGATTTTTGCAAAAATGTGCAGCTCAACAAATTTGCTAAATTGTTCAACTGTGCAACTAATGTCACCTTATCATTAGTTTAAAATGATCTTATCAAAACTTGCCTATTAGGTAAATGTTAACGAGATAATATTATCAATTATGTTCCTATTTAGTTTCTCAATTCTGAATGGATTAATATAGGATAATATTTGTTTTTGGTTTTTAGTTTAAATTAAAATTAAATTAAATTAGCTTAATTAAAAAATATTGCCTTAATAACATAACATAAGTAGTACATAATTAATTTTAGACTTTCTCATATATTTCATAATAACGTCTTCAAATTTAATTAACTATATTATGTGTTTTTATATATTTTATTTTTCTACTGCAAACAAATTTTTATAGTTTCGTGAGCGTAAATACCCACTCCATTTTGATGGGAACGTTGAAAATGCCTTGCAGCGTGCCAACTGTCAAAAGGGCATACTCCATCGTCGCGGCAATAAACGCATGTTGAAGAACAAAATTTCGGAACGTGGTATGGATCTGCGCTTGAATGTCACTTGAACGCACTTCAAATATTTAATATATACTTTCTTTGTTTTGTTGTTGTTGTTTCATTATTGCAGAAAAGAATAAGAAACGTGATGTGCGCAACTGGTTTAATCATGAGCCGCAGGTTGGCAGTAGCAGTAATGAACAGTACCGCCAACAGGAAACTTCATTGGACATTGAACGTCGCGGTGACATACCCGTCATGCACGGAGATTGTGAAGGTAAGCAAATACACCCATGACGACACGTAAACATTGGCAAATTTACTTACTCACAGCCCGCAATGGCACACTAGCCAGTTGTCGGGGCTCTTCGCAGCAGCTGTGGCACAATCTGAAGCCTAGTTGCTAGTAAGATAAATTTGCGTACTTTAAATGCATTTGCAACAGCAGCGTAATGTTGCGTGGGAATAAAGCTGCAATCAGCGTTATTATGGCAATACAAACTATATCCAATGCCAAACTGCCGTTCAGGCATACTTTATTTCTACTGTAAAATATTTATATTTTTGTTGTATTTGGGTGCTTTATGAATATAACTGCGTTTACAAAATTATTTATATAATTTTTTAACAGATTTTTTATAATTTTTTATTTATATTTCCCCTTTCGTATTTTGTACGTTTTTCATGTTTTTCTTTTTATGTTTTTTTTTTTTTATTTTTTTATTTTTTTTTTAATATATTTTTTTTATTAAAGACGCCCTCGCAAAATCGCTCAGCGACTTAATGGCATTGGTGAAATTGCTTCGAGAAGATATCGCCCACCAACGACAGGAGATTGCCTACTTACGAATGTTGCTCGAAAACTGCGCAGGCTGCAAAGAACCCAGCAATAACATACGTGTGGAACCAACTTGCCGCACTTCGAATCCTTGTTATCCAGGTATGTGCAATGTAGTGTAATTAAATATGCATGATTCATGTACTTGGTCCGCTATGCTGCGAAGCGGTTGCGAAATATTGCTTCAGGTATTGCGGAAGAGTAAACAGAAAATGAGATATAGTCAGCCACATTGGTTTTGGTGAATTATAAATTTCGAAAATATATTTGGGAAAGAAAGCAAATTAAAAAATTTATTGTGTTGTAAAATTTGTTTATGTTTCATATAAGAGCTACAGCACTGTAATATCGTTAGAGATAATTCATCAAAACTTTAGAGAGAAAGTCGTGGGAATTAATTTACTCAACAATCGATCACTTTCTTTCTGAAATTCAATTTGCTGCAGTAAGAGTAGCGATGGAGAGGAACCACACTGATATGTTATAGAAAATAACTCTGTTAGTAATCATTTAGAACTATTGAGATTGTTACGAAGTAATTAGGCTATTGTCAATAGCTTATTTTTTTTCTATAACTATTAGGAAATCTTCGGCGGTAGAGCAGATTGGAGTGCTGCAGGTGGGAGCTACTTCACGTCGCCATCTCTGTGATAATGGGTTTTATGAATATCTTGAAATTTTAATCATTTGTTTTTGAATTTTATGTTATTTATATGCTATTTATTTTTTTTACCTTAAGAACGCACGTTTCTCTAGTTACATATGTTTATAGAATAAAAGGAACTTTTTTATTATTATTACATGTTATTCGTTCAATAGCCCAAGTAAAAGTGAACGAGCATTCTTTTGTGGAGTTGAGATAATAATCATAATTTTTAGAATAAATAATCGCTTCCAAAAGGCCTATGTCCTAGAGCAAAGTCCATTTTGCCCTGATGGATTTATACATTAAGTATTCTATTAGTATTTAAATATCAATTTATATTCGTGAGTCTATGATATACTGTTTTCACCTTAAAAAAGCAAAAGTTTGATGGCAAAAGTAGGCGATTTGTATCAACACTAAACAAATCTAATTACTAATTACTTGGATTTCTAAATGATAGTTCTTGCTCTTCCTACAGAGAGAAAAAGAATTCTTAAATTGTTAATATCCTGCCTTAGCAAAAAACGAGACCATAATTCTAGAATCGGAAGAATATTCTCGAAAACAAAATTATTATTCTCAAAAAAGTAAATTTCTATAAAAGTGTGTGCTAGTAATTCTTCAATCAGAAAAATATATATTATAACAGATAGGTGGTTTACGTAACATATGCTATGAAATCATCTTCAAACCGAATTTAATCTAATTTACATTATGTGGAAATTTTAGTTAAATTTAAGTCTATTCGTAAGAACTTATATTACTAACATATACTTCTTTTAAATTAGATATAAAAAAACACAAAATCTTTTCAAACAACACGTTTAACATTATTTTTGTTTATATAATAAAATATTCTATATATCAAAAATTAAAAAATACTCTCCAATAATAATTATATCCGCTGCGGAATTAGTTCCAAATCTTTTTACTATAAACTTACCGAATCTCAATAGCTGCCATAATAAACCCTTTATTAGCGCAGTCAGAAGACTTTTAAATCTACGATAGCCTAGAATGCAAAACTTGTCCTAGAGCTGTAGTTTCCGACATTTCAGTTGAGATGGATTTAACTCCAAGTCTTTTACTATTTCTTATAGTATTTACCATGTTAATACCACTTTATATATTTATATACTATTGTGTATATTGTGTATAGTACATATTCTATTATTTTTAGTTTTTGGTGTTGATTTTTTTCAAATTTTTCAGGTTATATTTATTTTTACTATCTATTATTATTTCAGGTGTCGATTGTCATGATAGCTCGTCAGGACCAAGATGTGGTCGCTGTCCAACAGGCTATATTGGAGATGGAAAATTGTGCAAACCAGGCTTGAGTTGCAGCGATAGACCGTGTTTCATGTAAGTACATATATTGTTTTATCTAATAAAAATAATAAATAAATGAATTTTCATGACATAAATACTTGAAGGTTTATATATAAACATTCAAAATATTTTTTGTTTTTTTCCAAAAATGTTAAGGTTTATTGAGATGTGATTAAAGAGCAAAGAACATTTTTAATCTTTTCATAAGGTATTTTATATAAATAATTTTTAATACCATTCCCTTTAAAACAGTCTGTCTTTGGTATTATGCAGAGATAAATGCCTGTTTTTTTTTAATTCAGTTAGAAT